GGTCCCTGTAATCTGATTGGCTCTAATTGGTGCGATTTATTCACGAATCACACTATTTTTTGCTCTAAATTGCATCATTTTACGCTTGACTGAGTTTTTGACACATAACATCAAAGTCTTTGTTTAAAATAAGATGTAAAAGCGTTTCCGGTTCCACTTTTTATTTAAAAACCGGCTCAGTACTGCATCAATAAAATATTTGAATTGACCAAGTCCTGTATTTGGGCGATTTCAAAATGGATGTAATAGAGTGGTAATTGAACCTCGTGTCATGCAATTTTGGTCTGAAATCATAATTGTGATTTCAAATCGAACTCGCGCTGCGCGCTCGTTCGATTTTGAAATCACGCGTATGATTTCAGCCCAAATTGCACTCCACTCCGTTCAATTACCATTATTTATAATGCGTGTTTTGGTTGAGAAAAAGAAAACAAGAAAACAATTATAGTTAATAATTCGGTGTAACGGTTATGGAAAAAAAAAATAGAACCATGATTAATATCCACATTTCCTTTCGAATGACTTTTGGTTAACATTTTCGTGGTCCTTTACCCTTGAACTGAGTAAAGTACAGTCTTGCCGACGAATGATGATCATTCAGCAAAAAAAGAAAACTTAATGTGCGGTTAAAAGCCTAATATGAAGCGAACTGCAATACAGTGCCAAGAAAAATTATGTCATGATATACATTATAGTTGACGGTCCAATGGTAGGGGGGCTTTCCACTCACGAAACATCTAAAACTGGAAATCACAAACCTTTCCCAACACGAGTAACAAAATTATAAGATAAACAGCAGCGGAACAGGTATAAACATTGCGTACAGCAAAGAGAAGCAAACATTAAACCGAGCCAATTACGCAACTTTTTATGTATTTCTCTTTACACTTTTTAAATCTAAGACGAAGACAATAATCGAGATTATAAACCAAGACCTCCACTGTGCAAAAGAACTGGTAGACAGGGCAGACGAGGAACTTGTCTACAACATTCTTGGCTATGCTTATCAAAAGCTGGATGCTTTCAGTCAAGCCATAGAGTGCCATGAACAAGAACTTAGTATTGCTAAAGAACTGGGACACAGGGTAAGCCAGCTAAGGGCCTACAATAATCTTGGTTCGGCTTATCGCGAACTGGGGGATTTCAATCAAGCCATAGAGTACCACAGACGAGAACTTAGTATTGCTAAAGAGCTGGGAGACAGGGCAGACGAGGGAAATGCCTACAACAAACTCAGCCGGGCTTATCACGAGCTGGGTGATTTCAGTCAAGCCATAGGGTACCGCAGACAACATCTTAGTATTGCTAAAGAGCTGGAAGACAGGGTAGACGAGGGAGGGGCTTACGATAATCTTGGCTCGGCTTATCACGAAGTGGGCGATTTGAATCAAGCCATAGAGTACCACAAACGACATCTCAATATTGCAAAGGAACTGCAACACAGGTCATGCGAGATTTT